ATATATTTTCGCTTAAGCGCTGTATAAATTATTGGTGAAAACTGACGACTCTTCCATCCACGCGATACCCAGTAAAAGCCTATAACATGCAGGTCTATCTCTATCAAAATGTCAGTCATTCACGCAATTATAATAATTGGGCAACAAATATCAAAATCACCCTTTTCAGTTCAGGCCTTGGGTACGCATGGATGGAACAGGGTGTTGGAAATCTCAAGATGTTTAAGTCATTATTACTCCAACGAGCTCAAGATTGTGGATAGAAAAACTAAGAAATAGCAAATGTACATATATTCTCTCTTCAAAAATCAATTTATACTCGAAGAATATCTAATATATGTTACAATAAAAAAACTTCTAAGATCGCTAGCGCATTTCAGAGCAGGTTATTATGATTTAAAGATATATATAAAGGTATATTTCAAAAGTCTAACAATATCTGTACATCTTGCAACCTTAATGTTGTAAAAAAATGAATATCATTTTATGCTTGTGTGTAAACTGCTATTATATTTCATACTGCCATTGTAATAAAACTGCCATTGAATTTTGCACTGCTACTCTGCTGTGTGTACTGCCATTGCAATAGCTTTGCAGTTATTTGCATTGATTTTGTAATACAACCATACAAGGTATTGAGCCAAAATGTGGTGGTGGTGGTCACTTGGTGATTGTAGTCATCGCAGTTATCGGTACATAGGATTTGTTTGTTTGTCAGTTTGTATGTTGTTTAATGACGCACTCAAGAATATTCAAGCTATATGACGGCGGTCTGTAAATAATCGAGTCTGGACCAGACAATCCAGTGATTGACATCCTGAACATCGATCCACGCAATTGGGACACGATGACATGCATCAACCAAGTCAGCGGGCCTGACCAGCCGATCCCGTTATTCACCTCTTCCGACACACATAGGCACCTATTACGACACGCATGGGTTGCTGAAGACCTATTGTGCCCCGGATCTTGACGGGTCAGGTACATAGGAAAAGTCAAAGGTAGAGGTCAGCTATCATCAATAACGCGTATGTCCCCCGTTGGAATCGATAGCAGCCTGACATCTCCTGCCCATGGAAGAGACGAGTATGCGAATCACATCCTGAGGAATCGTAGCCCGCCCGGCCTGCAACGCAAAAGCCAACTGCTGCAGCGTCTGGGGTTGTGGTGGACGTCGGCGTAGCCGTCTATCCAATTCACCCCACATGTGCTCTATCGCCTTCAAATCCGAGGATCTGGAGGGCCAGGGGAGTACAAAAACGTTGTTGTTGTGTTGACAGGCTCTTGTGATCTATGCTGCATTCAGTCGAGCGTTGTCCTGCTGGAATACACCGTTGCGTTGGCTGCAATTGGGAGGACGTGTGGTGGAAGAATTTCGTTGATGTGTCGTTGAGCCGTAAGATAGCCCTAGATAGGGGTAGTTACTCTTGGTCGTCCCGACCTTGGGCGATCACGTGTTGACCCATGCTGTTGAAACCGATCCAATGGTGATGGTGCTGGGCGCTACATTGAAAACCCTGGCTACAGCTGATCGGTATTCCCCTGCCTGCAAGCGGCCTATGGCTATGTTTCTTTGCACTTCTGTTAATCTTGGCTTGCTGTTGAACTGTCACTGTTCGATTGACGCAGATACCAGGCAATCAAATTCCCTGCACTTTAATACTGTTCATAGTGCTGCTGCACGTGCCATCCAACACCTTTCATGAGGTGTCAGGTTAACATTGGCTTGATTTATTATTTCAATGTCGCCAGACACGACCACGCCTATCAAGGAAGTGCATTCGGAATCGGGACTCTTCTGAAAACATGACAAGTGATCAGCGACGATTAACCAAGTTTCGACGTTGTGTACACCATTGATATCTGTTGGCAATATGATGATTTGTAAGGGACGTCACAACATGTGACCGTTGAGCGTGCAGAAGAGCTGCATGAACTCGTATTCCAGTTGCTGGATGAAAGTTTGTAGCAATTCGATTCGCCGTTTGAGCTCGATTTCGTAGAGTCTGGTTTCGGATCAATTAACCCTGTACGCTTGTCGTCCACCTGGGACGCCCTGAACGGGGTTGATCGTCAACATATGGGTTTGTTGGTACCTGTTCCATAGTCTGTTAATCAGAGACTGTGAAATATTGATAGTTTTGGCAGCTACACGCCGACTTGCATTTCTAGTGAGTGAGTGAGTTGGGTTTAACGCCGCTTTTAACAGTATTCCAGTCACATCGCGGCGTGTCAGCTTAATGTGGGAGGAAAGCCCGAAGTGATGCAGGCCTCATGATCAGACGTTTACCACTTCGGTGAAACCCACGAGCACGGGTATGGTGCTGACAAACCTAGAAACATAATCGGGGCGAACCGGGATTCGAACCCGCAATCATAGGTTTCTGGCGTGCCCAAGGGACGCAACTCTGCACAGCGAGTCGTGGCGCCTTAGACGACAGGGCAACCCGTGCCCCCCCATTTCTAGTAAATACACAAACAATGAATGAAGTCAAGTAAATTACAACTAAACTAGTGTCCAAAAGAAACGATACCAACTTATTTTCAAAATTGTTTTTTACTAAGTGAATTGTCAAGTATGAAAACATGCCAATTCGTATTGCACATCCCAAACACAGCATAGTCGATAAAAAATACCGGGAACACGTGATCACTTCCGGGAAAAAACGTAAATTTCGTGAAAGTGACATTTCCCTCTCTAGCATGTTCTGCACGTGCAGAAAAACTGTATAAAACGGCTAATCAGACACGTTGATATCACAGCAACAAAAAGAACACAAGATATGCCACGTTTGACAGCCATCGAGAGAGAGAGAGCCGTTGGAATGGTCCAACAAGGAGCGTCACACGTCGACGTCGCCAGAAGGTTGGGCTGCGCACGCATCACTATCACCAAGTTGATGCAGCGGTTGCGTCAGACAGGTCAGACGTCAGACAGGCCCAGGAGTGGAAGACCACGAATAACCACGCCCCGTGAAGATCGTTACATCCGGGTATTACACCTGAGGAACCGCACCGTAACAGCGACGTCCACGGCGGCTACAGCACTGGGACATAGGATCAGTCGACAGACCTCCTACAGGAGACTACGGCAGTATGGTATCCGGCCACGTCATCCCTACCGCGGACCGCTCCTGACGCCTCGACACCGGAACATCAGACTGATCTGGGCCAGGCGAGTTCGACGTTGGCAACGGCGGGACTGGGCACGTGTTATGTTCTCTGTTGAGAGCAGATTCCTCATCTTCAGAAACGATGGACGGCAGCTTGTATACCGACGATTTGGTGAACGTTTGGCGCCTAACTGTATCCAACAGGTCCGGCCGTTTGGAGGTGGAGGGTTAATGGTTTGGGGTGGCATATATGGTGACGTCAAAACGATGCTTGTCGTACTTCGTGGAAACCTGAATGCACAGCGTTATCTTGATGACATCCTACGGCCTGTTGTGGTGCCCTTTATTCAGCAACAGCCTCGTGGACTCCTTTTCCAACATGACAATGCAAGGCCACACACAGCAAGATTGACACAGAACTTCCTTGCCAACGCCAACGTACAGGTTTTGCCATGGCCCGCATCTTCACCGGACATGAATCCCATCGAGCACTTATGGGACCACCTTGATCGGCAAATCCGACGTCGCGTGTGCCTCCAGTCAACGTCCAGGACTTGGAACGATGTCTCCTCGAGGAATGGCAACGCATCACTCCCAACGTCATCAGACGTTTGACGTCATCAGTCCGTAGGCGTGTTCTGGCATGTATTGATGCTCACGCTACTGACTTGACTTTGAGACGTGTGGTGTGACATTTCCGGTTGTTTCTGTGATCAGTGCTCTAACGAAATGTTCATTTTTCGACCCCACCCATCTTTAAAGGCTTGTCATATTGGTTGTACAGATTTTATTGAAATGAAATTTTTGTACAGATGTTGTGAAAGGATTTCTCAAAAGCATAACACCAATCCTAAACTTCTGCATTGTTTAGTTTTTCTTTTATGTCGTTGCAAACAGGTGGTATCGTTTCTTTTGGACACCAGTTTATATCATAAGCAGAATCAATAAGAATAATCGACCTTCCTTGAAAAGTGTTAAAATCAGGAATCACACCTTATTCCCGTGTGCGGTGCAACTGCGTGAGGCACGTGCAAACTACAGGATGTATTTTGATGTTTAGTTTTACAGACATAAAACGATTTTGCATATCTTTAATCTAATACTTGGTAGTAACATTTATATTTCATGACCATCTACATTTTAATAGTACATATATAAAAAATTTACTTTACTAAACTAGCACAACTATCAATTATAGTGAACTTCAGTGTCGCATTTACAATGATTGTTTATGCCTGTGTCTGATTGAACATTTGTTTCCAACAGTTAATTGCCCTGTAGCTATGACATGTATATGACTTGAATCACTTAATTGACATTACTTAAAGGTGCTAATCCCCATTGTATTCTACATTAAGCGTCAGCTGTTTATGACATTGGATGTAAGCCTTGGTCAAGAGATGAAAATCGAGGGTTTCACCCTTAGCCTAGATAGGGTTAGGCTATGTGCTCCGGAGAACCAACACAACAACCGCTACCACTATTATGTGCTAACCTGGCACCTGGGTCTTCATGTATAAAATAAACTTGTACATACCGTAAGCCATCGACTCCATGTTGTCACTTCCTCCTGCACCCTTGCATATATAGGAATATGCAAATAACCATTATCGACGTTATGTGCGTCTCTAACGCCTGCAACCTACGTGTTGTGTTCCAGCTTGTAAATATGTATTCTTAACAACGATTTTCGATATACCATATTCAGAACGGCGGTTTATGATTGAAAAATGCCACATACGCAACGATTGTTTATTGTTGTAAATATGCAAATATGCAATTGTAAATACATTATGTTCGTGCAGACGATATGTAAAAACATTTACACGTAAGTAAAGATAAACGCTTCTTCTGGTGTGGATAACATGAGGAAAAGGGTTTACTTACAGATCGGCTTGCCCTTTGAAGATGATATTAGGTGGTGTCCCGGTCAATGTCGCCATACCTCCCACGTTAGCCGCGAAAGCAACGCAAAGACTAAAAGACTTTGCAAGACAGGTGAATTCTTTATCGATTGATTGTCTCTTTTCATTCCTGAAACAATTTGACAATATTGTATATGCTTGTTTGTCTTGTGTAGAATGCAAATGCTTGTGAGTACATATGACATATATGATTGAACACGAGGCAGTTGGAGATATTCCAAGACGGTTGTATGATGTATGATACTTGTGTGCCTACAAGGTTTCATCAATAAATACTGAAAGGTTAATTAGTTATGCTCCTGAAAATGAAAACTCTCATTTGACGCGCAACATCAAACACATAAAATACAGACAAGAATAGCAAAAGCACTTATCTAGTGTATAAACAGTTTTACAAAGAACTGAGAAATACAAGCTTCAAAATAAATTTTTCATGATCAGAAAAAATCTCCACAAAAAGCAGAGTCCATTGTACGATACTGACCTATTTATAAACATGAGTTTATCAAACGATGATATCACGCGTTTGTCAAATAATGAGCGTTTCTTACACACCTGTGGGTGAGAAATCCATTTGATATAACTGGTATCAAACATATGTGTGGGGTCGAATTCCATGAACGTGATTGGCTACTCCATGGTGATGACCTGAGGTCAGATCATGACGGACTACTTTCGTTTTCGTAAGTCACTCATAAGTTACTCGTGTTTCAGTCGAATGTTCACCAACATCAGTGTTGAATGTTATGGTTTTTGAGCCTTAGCCCCTGGATGTCCCTCCTCATCAACCCTCCCACAAATACACTTCACAGTTTTCAATGTTCTGTGTGAAATTCCCTTTTCTGTGATAGCATCCACTGTCATTTTAGGCAAAGCAAAACTACTGAAAGTGACCTTTGAAAATTAGGAACATCAGAAATGTCGCCATATTTAATACATTACTAAATCATTCACGGCGTCAATTATTTACAATATGGTCAGAAATCTAAATATTGGATATTTACTCCAAGAACTGAATTTTTGAATAGCATATAAGTGGTCACGGTTAGATTTCTGTCTTTTTTTCATCAAATCACCAATGATTATTCTGAGAATCTTAGAATCATTTATAATGTTTTGGAAAGCACGAGCGCCAAAGTGTATTTTCCGCCATATTTAATATAGCGTTTAAATAATCACATTCACGTATACTGGTTATGAGACGCCTATTACATCGCGTATTTTTCAACTCAGATTTTACCAATAGAAATTATCTGAATGAAATCAAGCAAAATAAATTGTGTGTGGAAACGAAAGCTGTGCTCGGAAAACTGTTCTTGCTTGAAATGTAAACAAAGCAAAATTTAGATTGTACACGGTGTAGCATTCTCTTATTGTTGCATATGTGTCTGAGAATAGTCATAGGAAGAGTATCGTAGCTCAACTTATGGAATTAACAATATATACGTTACAATGATCAGGTAAAGTTTCCGTCCTGTGTGACGCCATGATTGACTGACGCAAAACCACACTCAACGAAGACGGTGGCTTCTGCATTTTGCAACTAATTCTATTGGTTATATTAGAAAACATAAGCAGATTGTCAGATTGTTTCTGATAACTTACATAACACATTTATTTATATACGATACGAAAATCCTCCTCTGAAAATCCCGCGAAGTGTACACACTATTTTGTAAAAGTCGGTCACCGGTATTGATGTCACACCACAGTAAACATTGTTGTACATATTTGGTAATTTCTTTGAGGTGAAACTTAACTCGGTATCCAGCGGGTTCTTCAGTTTTATCTAGTTTGCATTACTATCATCGCCTTGATAATCCACAGATATTTCGGAAACCTTTTTGGGTAGGGTCACATTATTTATGACTAGTAAGCAGTACCCCGGATGAAGTCACTCATGACAGTTGTTTTATGCATTAATGCGCCAGTGCGATCATGAGAATAAACAAAATGCATTCAACTTTCGGTTTTCTCTTCATTACCATCTCTCTGTGAAACGTGTTGTGTTACACCCTGATTAAACAGCGTTTGAGCAGGTTTTAGTATGAGGCTCTTTGGAATCTTTTTCGAAAAGGTATGCTCTATTGTACCCCAAACGTTGTGAAATATAAACACTACAGGCTGAGCCAAATATGCCTTTTGAGAGAATTTGAAATTACCACTACAACCCCAAGTCAAAACGTCAATCCATGGAAAGGCACCATTCCACTTCGGCCCCAAATAAATTCAAGTCTTCAAGATCAGTGAAGAAAGAACTGTATTCTAGGATGCAAAGTGCGATCCTAGTTGATTACTTAGAAAGTCAAAAGACGATCACCAGTTTCTACTATGCTGACTCAAATTTGTTTCATCGTCTGAGAGATTCTAACAAAGAAAAACGTCGAGGAATGCGGACTGCTAAAAATGCCTCTTCTCCAACTCTCAGATTGTAAAGGCTGCTGTGCGACAATGGGGATTCGAAGAGCTTCCCCACTCTCCATACTTGCCAGACCCGGCACCAAGTGATTTTCACCTGTTTCCTAAACTGAAAGAACACCTCCGTGAAAAGCACTGTGACGACAACGATGACTTCAAAGCTGCCGTGAATAGGGTTTTCAGGGTGGCTTCTGGAAACTTCTTTCTTCTTCCAGACTGGAATTGAAAAACTTCTCGATCGATATGAGAAGTGTAGTGAAAAGCAGTGATATCGTGTTGAAAAATATAATTAAAAACACTTTTTGACCAGCCCTCGTATCTTGCAATAACAGCAAGTACGGGATACACCTACGTTGGTATGACAGTCCAGATTTGAGTTTATTATGTTACTGTGTACACCTTGTGATGAGAGAATTACAGTCAAGCATCTCCTCCTTGATTATTTCAATTTATCCATCACAAGGGATAACTATTTTCAGATATTTATAATTACATGAGTTTGCGATTAAGTATTTGAATACTATAAGAAATAGAGCCAATATATACATTTTGCAATTGTGTGCACAGTTTACAATATTGGAAGTGTTAAATTTGCTACTTGGTGTAAACTTATATTCCACCTAAGAGGGTATGTGAGAAGTATTTTATACATATGACAGTTTAAATCATAGTATATTTGTAAATTATAATTCATGGTTAAATTGCATACAATCGCCAGCAGCTGAATTGATGGTTTTAATCCTGCTGGGGAACTGTGCACGTAATTGAGATATCGTAAGTTTCGACCGTCCCAAATATGGTGGCCTACCTGGCGATCTATAGCTCGTTTTCATATTGTGTTGTTGAATAATAGTTTCTTCTGTTTGTCTCAGACTAGTTGTACTGTCCATAGCTGACAGATGTTTACTGCTCCAATTGTATAACTTTATAATGATACGGCTGAAATACTGCCGACGTGAATTTAAATTGTAACTCATTCACTCACTCGAGAGGTTCGAATACGACGTGTCATAGCAGTCATGTTGGTATTTGTTTACTTACAACATATATGTTCCGGTTTTCTTTTAAATATTTTAGATTTTTACATTGTTTTCACTATGATCTTAAATATAGAACAGAATCAGAGATTATGGAGAGGGTTTTGTATCCTTTGTTTTCGCGTCAGAATCGCTAGCAATCATTCACATCTTAGCTATGTCTAAACTGTTCGTGACACCTCAAATACGGTTCTAGATGTATATAAAGAGCTGCTCATAATGAGTTGTTAAAAAGATATATCAAAGTTAAGATTTTTAGTGTAATAATTCATTCAATTTAATATTACAACAGGGGCAATGTCACTGTGTTGCAAACGTTACGTCAAAGTGTATCAAAGTCCCACAATGACTGAGACTCATTGTAACGATGTCTCAGACATGTTCATTTGGAGTTCAGACGTGGTGAGGGGCGTTGGCGTTAGGGGTTACAGCGTTGTTTCCACCCAACGGAAGCCTGGGTACAATTCCCTGCATGGGTGCAATGTGTGAAGCCCATTTGTGACTGCTGTGACATTGCTAGAATATTGATAAAAGCGGTTTGAAAACCACCCTAACTCACTCAAATGTGGAGGTCTGGATGGCCACTGAAGAACAGGAGGTTCCGTTTGTACATGAATGGAATGCTGTGAGGCAGAATGTTTTTGTTGCAGTAACGAAATGCCGGGACTTGCACAAGGGCTGTTCTTCAAATTAGTGATGGCCCATCCACACCATGACACCAAACGTTCAAAATGTCACCTGTATTCACGTGTTCTGCCATCTAAAAACCTGAAGGAGACATCTGATTTATCACAGAAAACAACAGTCCTCCATTGCTGTCGAGGACATCCATGATGATTTTGATACCATTGAAGCCGAAGTTGACAGTGATGGCGTGTCAAGACGATGTAACGTAATGGTCTGCATGCGCTTATTCACCTGCATCCTAAATGTTTGGTCTGCGATTCTGGAGAAAGCGCATCTGGTCTTCCAGAATGAATATGGTCACGTCTTGTTCCTTGTGCCTGGAAATGGTGCCAAAGCCATGTATGGTTCTCTGTGAAACGTTAAGAAGCCTTTTCATGGCTGACTGAGAGGCACCAGCCTCCAAATGGCCGATGGCATTGTTTCATTAGGTCTTGAGCATGGTTTATCACTTCACTACTCCTTGAATATGTGATGAACGATCTCGAGACCCCCTGCACTTTTATAGCCACTAGTGTGAGGGCATCAAAACGAGTAGTATAGGTAATGATGGTTCTGCCGCAACTCCACTGGAGCTGGATTTATTTACCTATACTGCTACTACAGATGGAATTTTTTATGCCAAAATTACTATGCAATTCAATGATAGTCATGAGATTAAGTTAAATTGGCTCTAGCTCACCACCACCTAGATGAGCCTAAATGGTAATAAAAATATTCTTTATTATTTTTATCAATAAAGCGACATTCAACATTTTTATTAAGTTCTTCGTTCATTTTACTAGGAGACCAGACTATATAACTACACTCTTCTTGTAAATTGATAAGAAACAATTTATAACCGTATTTGGTTGGTTTGACACCACTGATATAATAAAAACCTTGTGGTAATTCTATCCATTTAATAGTTTTTTCGATTGTTGGGTTGTAATTCTCCATTATTATATATATTTCTGTAAGCATTTGTCTA